TACACGTTACTGTAAATTCGAAATTTGAAACTTTTTCACAGAAAATATTTGAGTTTTTGAAAAACTTAATTTGAAGTCATTTTAATTACTTTAACTCACAAATGCAATAGTGTTTACAAATTGCAGAGACTGTGCATATCAACGGCGTGAGAGATCTTTCAAAAAATTTACATATGTGTAATTTTTGAAAAAACAAAAACGTTCAACGAAATTACCTTTATGTCCTATTAAAGAGTGCAATTACCAATATCCGTTCGAAATGTTAAAGAAAAAATTGGAACCACTTTTGAGAAAATGGCATTTAAGCGTTTCTGAAAATGCGGAGTTCTGAGCTAGTTTTCATAGAAAACGGTAGTTTTCGAGAAAGTTTATATGGCATTATTTAACGTACATTTACTTATAAATACAATAATGTGAACAAATTGCCGCTAATATAAATATTATTGATATGAGAGGTAAGTCAAAAAATATACATTTTGTAATTTTTGAAAAAAGTAGAGGAATATGGCGTTATGTCATCAAGTATTTTTCCCCATTCTTACAAGAAATTTAAAGAACAAATTTGGAGCAGTTTTTGAGAAAATTTTGAAAACTTCCTGTAAAGTACTCCCAAATTTTAAAGATCTTTTGATTTTTTTAACAACAATTTTTAAAATCTCAAAGATTCAACTCGAGCCAGGTGGACACGGGTTTCTTCAATTTGGAAAACGTCCTACGCATGGTTAGGCGCTAGTAATGTTCACAGACACCAGATGGACGGACGGACGGACGTCTTGAAAGATACACTTTTTCGGTATCAGGTGTATTTCGACGTGTATTTCCGTCGAAATCAATTTCACTCCGAATTCGCTGCGCGAGGATTGCGTCATCTGCCGGCGCCCCTTCCCTCCCCGCTTCCGCGAAGTAGACCGGTTCGGGACATATCGGCGCGACGCCGCGGCGGAAACGCTGGCGGAGTAATGTGGGGCGGTTGCTGGAGACAAGCGCCGGGCAGGTTATAATGCGCCGGCTGCCGGCGGTCGCGCGACTAGCAGAAGTGAGTAGAAGTCAGTGGGTAGTAAGACGTCAGTGAGTAGGCAGAGAAGCAGTGCAGTCCGTCAGTGTGTCCGAAGTGAAGGCTGTGCGTGTGAAGTGTGCATTGCGGTGAAGAGTGTGCAAGTGGTTGAACAAGGCAGTCTGAAGTCTGGCAGTGGAAGCTGGCTGTGAAGGGTGCATCGCGTAAGCAGTGGTGCATAGTGAGGGAAACAGGGCAGTCAGCAGTTTGAAGTCTGGGCAGTGGAGAAGCTGAGCTGTGGTAAGTGGGGCATTCGCGGTAAACGCAGTGCAGTGGACGCGCTGGTGTGGCGCAGTGAGTGTGGTCTGCGCAAGGAATTGTGGTCAGCGCAGGGGAATTGTGGTCTGTGCAGGGATTTGGGTCAAGTGGCAATGGACCGTGGACAGTGCATCGGACTGGCTGATACTGTAGAAGAAAGAAAACTAGTATACAATAGAATAGTGTGTAAGAAGTGAACTGTGTAAATAAATCATCAAGAGAACGGAGTCTGTAAAGAAAAATAAGTGTAATATATCTGTAAATAGACCAAGTATATTTTAGTATATAATTGTTCACGAATAAACGTTTTTGTTTAAAATACTGAGTTGGTTTTAATTCATCACGGAGAAACGTTACAATACATTTCCCTTTCCTACGTGTATTACTCTGTATATACATCATACGTATACAGAAAGAAAAAATCCTTTAACACGTGATGTAGCCAGAATCCATGTTTTGAGGGTCCTTGATTGCGCAAAATCGATTGACAGCAAAACGTCGGATTGTCCGTCCGTTTGTGAACAACTCCGTTCAGCCAATTTTCTCCAAAATAGATATTGCCCTATCTATCTGGCTGATGTCGCGGACCCCTGAATTTGAAATCGATATTTTAATTTTGGGGAGTACTTTTCACTCGAGTTCGACTCCAGCACATCGCAAACAAGCAATATTACTTCGACACGTTTCATACAAATAAAATTATTAAATTTCGAATATATCACCACCCTGGTATATTTTTTAACAAAGATCCTTCCACTCACACGCTCATATTGCACTAGCGTTCTCCGTAGTGTGACTGCAACCTGTTGCATCTACCGAGAAAGGACTTCCTTCTAGATCGGCCAACTTTACACAAAGAATTCATCAAGTGTACATTTTAAATACGTAACTCTAATATCAAATGAAAACAAATTCTCTAAACATCATAAATAATGCATTTAATGCTGTAAATAATTGACTGAACTTCTGCACTTTCAATAACAAGCGAAATTCATAAAATTACGTCGAGTCAGACGAAGGTAGTATTCTCCTCAGACTCCCTCCGTCGCCGCGCAGTGCTAGAGAGCACCACCAGTATGGTTGCCCAATCAAAAGGCCCTATGATGCCCGTGTTAACAAATTAAGACCCAACACCACTAAAATATTTCTATTATCTTTTTTCCTAACTACTTAGAACTTAATAACACATTCACGCCCAGAAAATATTTTCTTTATTTTTTGCTTTAATTTTACGGCATGTTCCCTGATGGGAACATACAAGGTCAACAGGCTGTATAATGTAGGGGAGCAGTACATATGCACAAAGTCCTTACAAGTCCACTCCGGGCTTGGAATGTAATGGTTCCATGGGGTCCTGGTCTCGGTGTTGAGGCGTATGACACCACCATTCTAGCAACAATTTGTCTTGTAAATTCTTGCTGGCTCAGCTTGTCAATAATGCAAATGCATTCTTCCTACAGCAACTCTTAGCGTTCATACAGTTCAAAGGAATAGGCAAGTACCATTTTCTTATCTTATAACTGGCCTATACTGGGAAATAAAATGATCCAACAAATCTATTCCTCCCATATGCGAATTGTAGTTTGAAATTAGAGCAGGCTTTGGTATTTGCACTTCGTTTTTGGGTTTGTCTGTACCACTTTGCTTGTCGAAGAGGGTGAACATCATAGTTTGAAGCACAGCGCACTACTTTGTTGACTTTCCATTTGACTGGCAACATTTCCCCATTACTCTTGAAATCTTAAATACCACTCTCTAGTTTATCTGCATTTTTCATTTCATCCAAAGTACATTTCTGTAGACGCACTTCTCTCACATCTTGCATCAGAAAGTGCCTCATCAGCAATATCGGAAGGCAGAATAACAAGACATAATAATCTACCTTGTCATCTGTATTTCTTCCACTACATCACAAGTTTCCTCAATTCGTAAATATTTCTTGAAAGACAGTGTATATATAGAAAATAATAAAATCAGAGTGCTTATCAGCAATAAAAAATTGCAACAAAACAATAAAAAAAAGTAATAATATAAAAAAAATCCATGGGACAAAAATTCACTGTATCTTTACAATGTTCCCAAATGGGGACATCGTAAAAATAAACTTTCACACACACTGCATAAACGAAAATTACGATTGTTTGTAATCATAAAAGTATTGTTCAATGTTTTCTTTAAGTACCTGTATGTATAGAAAACAACAATTTCTTAACAAAAAAAAATAAATTATTACCTCAGAACAATTGTATGAAAACTTTCGATATGCTAACTCCTCGAACAACATAAACTTGCAAGAAAAGTAGCAGATTGAATATTCCTGAGGTTAAGCAGATCTCTATCCCTCTCCTGATAATGGTTTCATTTACAGGGGAAAGATAAATTGTTTCCAAAAACGAAACATCTGCATGTTCCCGAAAGGGAACATTAGGACTTAATGGATTAAATTGAAAGGCCAACAAGGAAATGCAGTAAACCCAGTAATACAGCCAAGATAGAAGAACGTGGTGCAATACCCAGGAAGGCACCAAGCACAGGAGAGACGAGCAGTTCGACGTTCTTGGGTTTGAAAACGATGTCATGTCAGGAGTATTCAAATAAAATATGAAGATCTTTGGTCAAATATTAAAATGCCTCTTATTATCTTTATTCCTAATAGTGTGTAGAATGTCGTAGCAGTATAGAATGTAGGAATTCTGGAACTCAAGAACACATGCCTAATTCTCTCGCAAACACCATACTTGTCTCATCATATGAGATTGAAATATGTTACTCAATAAATAATAATATTTATTCTAAGTGATTTAGTTATTATTATTTTCTCATATACAACTAGATACATACCTATAGAGAAAAAATGTCAATGCTCCAGGAAAAAGGGGCAATTTTTCAACAGGAAAATTTGTTTGATGGGTCCCTGACGCCAAAAAAGTATTTTATTCTTCTTCTGATTCTTAAATAACTTCTAAAACATTCTGTAATCAGAAACTGAGCATTTAGGTCCTTGACACTGAAAAAACAGTCTTCAGGAATCTGTCTGGTCGACAGTGAAAATTTGGTAAAGATGCCACGAATAATATCTAGTTGTGCCATTCCTGGTATAATAAAAATAATTTAATTTTGGGGGCAGTTCTACACCACCACACATGCTGGGAGACTGGTCAGGAGCTTAGAGCTTGTCCTGGCTGGGGCAGTGCCCTGCTCGGGGGATATAACCTGGTTGAGGGAATTCCTGTTAGCCAACAGTAGACCGGCGCCCGGATGTTGCCATCCAGCTGGGGAAGATCACCACCTCCTCCAGAGCGGAGAAAACATGCACTACGCTTAAGGACTAATAATATCCCTGCACGCGCGTGTGTTTTATGAGCTCGGAATCACTAACAATCAACAAAAACGGAAAAGAAATGAAAAAATTTTCAAAAAGAAAGTCATGATTATAACTGAAATAATTGTTAAACATATTACTCTTATAAATAGTATTTTTGTAGTAAATCTGTAGGATTTCTTTTAGGAGAGGGCCCCCAAAACAATTTTGTCCTTTGGGGACCCAGCAGTAACTAAACCTGTAGTAGCTATATCAATGTGTGTGCATGCGTATGTGCACGTGTGTAAAAAAAATTAATGGAAGGCACCACTTAATCAAGGTGACAAGTTTCAATGTAATGATATTGTACTGCATTATCTATCTGCTCGTAAAATTACCTGAGCTATCCTGTATTTTACAAATATGGGTAATAGAAACACATTTTCAATAAAACAAATATTTATTTTCAATTAATTCAATTACAATTTTAACCCATTAAATGCTAATTCCCGTTTTAACATATTAGCTTATTACGTGTTAACAACAGAGATCCAAATTTTTTATTTCTGATTGACAGTTTTATCATTAGTAAAATTTAAAACTGTTCAACAACACAACATACTAAAACATTCAAATCTTGTCACATACAGTAGAAATCCACATTAGAAAATAATCCTTTAAAAGCAACCACACATTAATTTCTTTTCAGCTTCTTACAAACATTGCCACCTTCATTTCCATTACTTCTTAAAGGTGGAGCCAGACTTTGAAGCAAACGATCAGTAGAAAAATTGCCAAATAAAGTTGCTAACAAGGCAACACCATATCCAGTAGCACGTTCACCCTAAAATTAGTAACCAAAGGTTTAATATTAAAAGACAAATAATTCAACTTAATAAATATAATAAATCTTTTTAATGCTCATGATTATAGAAAAAAACGAATGGTGAATAAAAATTAAATATTTACTTCTAGTCTGAGTCTAGTCCTTGTAAAAGCATTTACATCCAAGCAACAGCATTTAACTTCATTTTGGGTGAGTGACCTTATATTTCTACTAGGAAGGAAATGGTAGGAAAATAAGTAATTACTTATTGGAGAAAACTGGGAAAAATACATACTTGTCTTGTGTGTAGGGATTTTTGAGGTTGGATTTGTACAGTCCTGTTTTGTATCCGCTTTCATACACAGAAAAAATGAGTAAATACAACTAAACTACAGGAAAAAACACCCTATTTTTGCAAAAACTGTTGGAAACTATTGGAAATTACAATGTAGCATTAAACAAATCGACTTCTGAGTACGAAGGAAAGGCATATTCAAGTTTTATTAGCAATTTCAAGAAAATCCCAATCCCCTACTCCAATGATTTCAAATTTGTTTCTTTATAATTTAAAATATTTTTAGTACATAGTGTCAAGGAGATTAAATATTATAAAACTAAATAAAGAAAAAAGAAAGAAAGAATATCTTTCAATGAAAGTTAATTTGAGTCTAAACTGTTTTCTTGTTTTCAAAGTAACCTCAAGTACCTGACAGCCAGATAGAGATGAAATACAGAAACATTTTTGCAGAACACTCATGATATACAAGACTCCAGTCTTAGAACTATCATTAAATAACTTACACTGTGTACAGGATATGCCATATCGATGTGCATCCACACTCCAGGATAGTCAAAGCCTAGATGTGCACCAATGAAGAGACCAGCACATGAAGACTGGGCATTATTTCGATCCTGGAAGAAAGTAATTAATATCAAATTTTTAAATTTATTCTCCTAATCTTTTGTACTATGTTGATTGGAGCTTGGCATTGCAAAATTGCTCTTGTGCTCCAAAGATGAGTTCCACTCAATATAGTTTTTTTTCTCCCTTTTCTATGCCTTGAATTCAATTTAATTTCTACAGGATGTGCACAATTGTGAATTAAACAATTGGTAGATGACTATTATGCCCTTAATTATTTAATTTTATTATTATTATTGTTATTATATCATACTGTTAGATTGCTGATTGGACTATTAATTGCTTAATCTTACATTGAATTATACATAAATTGAATGGACATCCTACATGTCTTATTACAATAGTTCAGTAGCTATAGTGTGATTAGGCAATAGGGGAATCCCTAAGGACCATTTTCTGTGAACATTTCAGAAATATGGTCAAGAAAAAAATCTACCTTCCAACACAGAACATTGAATGTAACAATGCAAAGGCTTATCATGTTTATTGTTAAGTCACTGCAATTTGTAGGACCGTTTATTAGACTTTTAACTGATTACAAGTGTGGTGTTGTAAACCCAACTTTTTCATTTTTTCTTAATGAACATTCCTCTTCTTTTGTGATCCAAAATGTAGAAATCACCAAAGCATTGTAAGCACCCTGGTACTGAGTCAGCAGGATTTAAATAAAGAGATGACAGGAAAGCAGAAACTGAACAACTGGGAGTGTGAAAAGTTTGTGAAATGTTTTTGATACTCCTTTGAAACGGACCTCTCAAAAATAATTTTTAATAAAAAAAATTAAATGTAGGTCTTAGAGCATCTAATTCTGAAAATCTACCAATCACTGCTCTAAGGAAGTTTTTTCTTAACACTGAATTCTCAGAAACCTGCAAAAAACACACAATTTTTTAACCCTTACCCCTCCCCGTTATACTTTACCCAGTAGTGCTACAGAAAGGCATAGACTTTTCTGTATTAGTTTTCTATTTCCTATGGTCTCGGCTAGCTATTTGCCACATACTCTTGCCTGCTGCTATCTATCACCGCCCTAAGTACATTTTTTCCCCCTTTTTTAATTTTTTGATTTCCTAACAACTGAACAGAAATATTATATTAAGAATATTAAAGAACAGTAAAACCTCATCCTAAATGGCAATTTTTTTTGAAAAATTTGGAGCCATTTTCAAGAAAATGACACTTGAGCACTACAGTAAATTTGAAATTTTAAGCTCTTTTGCACAGAAAATTTGAGTTATTGAAAAACTTCATTAGAAGTCATTTGAAGGACTTGAACTCACAAATTGCTGTAATTGTACTTATTACCAGCATGAGAGATCTTTCAAAAATTTTACATTCGTGTAATTTTTGAAAAAACAAAAAATACCCCAAAATGAACTTTGTCATATTAAAGAGTGCAATTGGCACTTTCTTTTTGAAAAGTTCGAAGAAAAAATGTTGAGCTCTTTTAGAAAACATTGAGTTTAAGCGTTTCTGAAAATGCGAAATTTTGAGCTACTTTTCACAGAAAACGTTTGAATTTTTGAGAAGCTTTATACGAAATTATTTAAAGTACATATTCTAATAAATGCAATGATGTGAACAAGTTGCCACTAATGTAAGTATTAACGATGTTAGAGGCAAGTCAAAAAATTACATTTTAGTAATTTTTGAAAAAACAAAAGAATTGAGCAATATGTTGTTTGTTATTTTATAGAGTGCATTTAACACAATACCTACCAAAAGTTTAAAGAAAAAATTTGGCGCCGTTTTTGAGAAAATTTTGTTTTTGTAATATTTTAAAATTGCACAATTTGTCACAATATTGTGGAAAAACTACTGAAATTTTCAAAACAACTGTACATGACCTTAATGAAAGAACTCACTATGGAGAAAAAATTTCATTTCAAGAAAACATTTCTTCAATTTTGTGGTAGTACAAAGACCCCGAAAAAAATTGAAACTTTTGCAATCTTCAAAAATTCAGAGTTCAACGTGAAAATTCGGTACTATGCCACCTTTATAAGTATATTTTACTCTATTCTTACAAGAAATTTAAAGAAAAAATTAGGAGCCATTTTTGAGAAAATTTTGAAAATATCGCAGGAGCTTCTTGTAAAGTAAAATTCAGTTAAACTAATGATTTTCAAAATTGCAGAGCTTCAACTCCACTCAGGCCAAATGGACAGAGGCTTCTTCTATTTGGAAAAAAATCCTATGCATGGTTTTTTAGGTGCTAGTATTGTTCACATACACCAGATGGATGTTTTACAAAAACCTACTTTTTCGGTACTAGGGTTTTCCACAGCATTACGTTACTTTCCCTATACTATGTATATTACTCCATACATACATATGTATACAGAAAAGTAGAAAGTATGCACTTTTAGCAACAAGAGTCACTTTATACAACAAAAGCACAGTCTCTGTTCTACAAATTATGTCTCTTACATTTTTCATTGGACAAACAGAATAAGTGCCAGGGCTCATAGAAATTTAAGAGGAGTTGATTTGTGTGCTGCTTTAGTTTGACATCTTTGTGCTACCCCAGCAATCAAGAACATTTTGACACCAGCCAAAAAACACCAATCTTTCGTTAAATCCTTTTTAGTTTCCAGTACTGATGAAACTATCTAGGAAAACTTAAAACAGTCCAAAGCTTGTCTATAGCGCGGAAAATGCAGAGGTAGATAAGTTAAGTAATTTCTGCTTACTCCAAATGTGTGTTCATTTTCCCTAATATATTGACTTTCATTTGTAGACTTACCGCAACTGAATTTTTCATATCTGCTACAGCAGAAGCAAATTCAGTAAAATGTAATTCAGGGCAATATAAAATTGGGAAGAGTAGATCTCCTGACACTTTGCCAGCATAAACAGATGCCTCTTCCCATTCTTCATTGTTTGTAAGTACTGCTCCATGATATTTTCCTGTACTTATACCCTGCAGATATAAATCTCTGAGTTATTGCTTTGCCTAAAAGGCATGTCAAATACTTCAAGAATTTAGAAAAACAATAAAAAATAGAGTTCACATGTTTTATCATACCTGAGCACCTGTCAAAGTAGCCATATCCAGAATTATATTTGCTTTCAAGTCTTTCTGTGCATATGCAACTCCATCTGACAGAACCAATCGCCCTTCAGCATCAGTATTATTTATTTCTACAGTTCTAGAGAAGAAAACAAACAAACTAGTTATCTTGTATGGTAAACATTTATATTTAGAAACAAAAATTATCACATGAACATCTGAAAACTGTAGTGATTTGTACACATTTTAATTAAGACAATATACAATGAGAATGAAACTGAAAAATACTTAATAATTATTGATAACATATTCATACCTTCCTGAGTATAAAGTGTGAATATCATCAGGGCGTGTAGCATCAGGACCTACAGCATTTTCTGCCAAACAAAACACAGCATGCAGATTTTGGGAGAAGCCAGCCTTTACAGTTGCATAAAATGCACCTAGAACACCTGCGGCCCCTCCACAGTCACGTTTCATTCCCGGCATAGCAGTCTATAATGCAGAACATTTACAATCAGTTTAAAAGTAGTACATGAATCAAATGATGATGAAATTAATCTATTTCCATTTTTATTCTACAAATGTTTACAGATATTACAAGATAAGTTAAGTTACATTAAAATATTCAATTTTAAATTTTCTTTTCGCCAAACTTACAGATTCTATCTTAACCAAACATCATAAATATATGGTGAAGTATACTTTTGTGACAATGGATAGTAGATGTCATGTGATAAACAGGATTCAGACAGCTGGTGAGAAGTATCAGAAGTTTCTATTTGATACTAAACAACTTAATCTCACAATGTATCTCACTTGTCACATCTCAATGCATTCCCAAATTCGGATGTCAAGCACATTTCCAATGTACTGTTTTGCCAAGTACTTCTCAGAAACCCAAAAGACTCTTCACACTGATAATCACCTTACTTTAGCTAGCAGCTCATGCCTAATTCATGTTGCTTTCACTAGTTACACCTAAATGTGGAAATTAAAGAGAAATTTTGGGAATCCTTTCAGTCATTATCCACTTCAAGTTACATATTTTGATCCTTGGTTAAATTTTACAAAGGCAACTGAAAACAACTTTTTCTTCTCCTAAAAGTTTGATAAAAGCCAATGCCTAGGCAAAAAAAAAAATTAAACATCTCCAATAATCCATTTCTCATCTGAGACAATCTCAACTACTGCTGATATCATATTTCTTCTTCCGTGCAATACAATGAGCCATTCGAATGATATTAAAAACCTTGTGTGTGGGTTTCCTGACAGATTTCATGCACAAGTAGAGTAAAGCTTCATTAATGGGTACCAGAACTGATCTACAATATGTTTTCCATGTCGATTTTTCTTATTTACACAATTTTATCAACCTGTTAGAAAGTGCACCTCTTTATCAAGTAATTCTAAGAAATAACTGCATGGGTAAGTGGAAGTTTAGAATTCTTTGCAGCTGAAAACACTTTTGCAGCAGAATTCTGATCTCCCTTCACAGCTCACAAGTGCTGGGATGGGTCGATAGGTTACCCCAGCTTATCTAAAAATAAACAGCTGTTTGAGATGGACCTACTGAGACAGTTATCAGAAGTGACATAGGCATAGATGTCACAAGACACAACTTAGCCAACACTGTAGTCAAGAAGAGGAACACAATGGGATGGCTGCATAAATTTCCCAGAGCTTCCTAACAAATATTTCCCCCACACATGCAGCCACACTTTAATTTTGCATATAATGTGTACAATGAGTAAATTTGAACATGAAATATTATTAACACCTGACTTTTTTATTACATTAAAAAAGTACTTGCATTTATTTTAAAATAATTTTACATTTGCATCAGGTCCAGCTCAAAATCACTGTATGCCAGCTTAAACGTCACATATAGCAATGCCTTCAAATCTGCATCTGTTAAACGTGATCTTTGAGGAGATTTAATAAATTTGATTAAGAAAAAACTTGTTTAGAACTGTGGCACTACGTACGAAGCACAACTCTCAACTCAACATGAAAATTGGCCCTGGATGCAAAGCTCAAATTGTTCAATACGACATAACATGTTGCTCAGTATGTGCCCTAAAAGCATTTTGATTGTTGCAACCCACCGTTCCTGTCAACGATCTAGAGGGCTGGGAAGCAAAGGTAACTCTGTGTGGCCGCTGACATGGCCTGCGCTCCAAAAAGCAGGTTTGCTGACCGCTGGCCTAAGGGCATCCAGACAGTCATTTTGGAGGGGGGGGGGGTGTTGATTTTCGACAGAAAACAAGAATTCCTACATTGAAGAGAAACAGAACTAGCATATCAGAAAAGATGCACGAGGTTGCACCTGAGCAAATGAGGTCTAAATACCTAGGACACAGCTTTTTGAACAGAAGCAGTTCTTAAATAAATGCACTGTTTATTATAGTTATCATTAAAGGAATACATGAATGCTGAATCTATTTTGTTACTAAAATATTATATTCAAAATATCTGTATATTCTAAAGATTACAATTAAAACCCTGATATAGCCCATTTTAGTTTCATTGAAAATGTATAATAGAAGTTTAAAATATCTAAAAAACTGGAACCTGGTTGCATTATTTCCACATCGCAATCCTATTTTTAATGTTTTTAAAATAACTACCCGTAAAATTTGGCTGATCTCATGCCCATCTGCTTTACACTTTCAATCAAGCGCTTAGGATTAAACTCGCCATCAACATTTACAGAATGAGGGATTTTTACGAAATAAGTGATTGCTTAAAATGGTTGTCACACATGGAGATCCCCACATGTGACAACTTATACAGACCCCACAGAGTACACATTCAATATTTGTCATACAAAGAGCATTCATTTTCAGTTGCGTGGTTTGAGATAGGTTGTAATTGTACACTCCCAATTGATTGTTCATTCATGATTTAGATAAACCTTATCATAATATGAATCATGTGCCATATCTAGAACCCAAAATATTCTACAAAACCATGGTCATTGTTTTGCTTAGTAGAAGTGAATGTTGCATAAAAACATTAACTAAATCTAAAAATTAAAGTTCGAAAGAGGCATAAGAAAGCAGGTGACCTCCCTTGTCGAAAATAGTGGAAACATGAGATTAAGAGTTGTTTGTGAATAAGAAGACATTCCTCAAGGAATATTTAAAATACCGACTATGAATTTTTTTTTATTTTTAAAACCCCCAAAAAGTATGTTAACAATATTTAAACAAATTTGTTTCTGTCAGATTTGGCATTTACTAAATTTAGTAACAAAACTTTTAATTTGCTTTGTTTGTACCTTTCCTTTAATACTCAGTCCTCCAGTATCATAAACAATTCCTTTTCCAACCCATGCTATTGTTTGGGTAGCACCTTCTGGTCGATGAGAGAGCACAGCCAAAGCTGGCCCTACCGCAGCAGCTTTTCCTACACCATAAATTCCTCCAAAACCTTTTGCTTTCAGTTCCTCACCACGAATTACATGGAAAGGAGTTCCAATAGCAGAGCCTACAGCTTGCACCTCCTAAAATATCATATGTAATAATGTATTTTATTTTCACAAATTTAACATTTACAACACAAACAAATAGTCAAAAAGAGAATAAAGACATTTACCTGGAGAAAATGATCCACATTCATCTGATTACATGGTGCATCAACAATTTTTGCAGCTAACCTAATTCCCTGACATGCTGATTCCAAACAATCTAAATCTTCTGAAGATAATGACATTACATCATCAGTTATTCCATTTCTTTCATTTGCCACATCAGAGCCCGGGACAAGCAAAAATTCCACACTCACAGTTGTCTGTGTGTTGTGACTGGAGTTGCTTGAAGTTTTACATGAGTATAAGGGATAAGCACGAGCAACAGCACATGCTGAAGCAAATACATCACTTCGTTCGCACACAATCTGAAAGAACACCTTAATCATTACTCAAAATCACTGATTCTACACTTATATCACATCATTCAACACAATAAATCACACCATTCAAACAAATCACCAAGAATCACTATGTTTTAATTTTTCTTTCCAGTTCTTAGTAACAATACATAAGCATAAAAAATGTTATTATTTTCCTTTCTACACTATCAAACAAACACATAGCAGAAATAATTTACAGCTTGATCTCTTAAATGTAGTTTTGGTTGGGTATGACAGCAATCCAATGCAAGTGAAGGAAATGAGAATTTGTGCACCATCACAGAAGCACACAGCCAGCTCGGTGCAATGTATGTATCTGTCTCTGCATGACATCCACCGTACAAACAAAAGTCTTTAGAAATGAATTCCTACCAAATACAGGTGAAATACTCAAGATGGCATTCCTTGTTGAAGAGTTAAGACAGTGGCAAAGAGAGTTAAAAGTGAGCATTTCACTAGAGAAAGTACTGGAGGGAAAACAAATGAGCAAAGAGCACAAAGTGAAGTGAAGGAGTGTTGAACAAGGAAAAATATTAAATATCAAACTAGAGCATTGATGCAGTAATCATTTTATATGATATTTAGGCAGCTAAATCACTGGAAATTTGGATCAGAAAATTACTGCACATTTTACCAAGATGCTCACTGAATGCAAGTTTTCTTCAGATTTTTTATGAAGTTCAGTTCAACATTAATTTTATCTTAGGCATAACACAAGGGTTCTATGTCTACTTAGAACTGTACCTGCTTCTTGGCAAAAAGTAACCCAAAATAACTTTGATTTGGTTAATTGCAAAATTTCAACAAATTTTTATACCAAAATACTTTGGTGGCCAAAATGACTATCTTCGCTTACGATGTTCCAAGGCATCAGCAAGGTTCAAGCCTCAAAATATTTACACAAAATCATCTTGAATCTAGTCCATTGAAAATGACTCCCTTTTATGCCAAAAATAAATAGAGAAGTTGCCCTCCTCTCCACTCTTCTTGCAAAGTCCCAGCTGAAGTGAAGTTCAGTAATTAATCATATAATCACAAAGAAATGCTACATTGTAATTTGAAAAGTAAAATTCATCATATTTATATTACACAAGTTGTTGTGTGGTTGTTGGTTGTTTGTTTGATTTTTGTTGTTGTTTTTTTGTTTGTTTTTTTTCAATTCTAACCCTGAACTAAGTACTTACAAAACATCTTGTACACTTTTACTTTCTTACTAAAAAGTCTTAGTACTTAAGCAAGTGGCATGTGACAGTGAAAGCTCCTTGTTTATTGGGTAGGACATTAAAAAAATAATAAAACAATTCTTTACATTATTTCTTATTGTTCTACAGCTATTCTACTTGGTCAACATCAGTGTACTCACAGTACTGCCAGAGTCTGTTTATTGCCCAGGAAATGGGCCATATGTAAATAGAGAATCAGCCCAATATTACACCCTACAAATGAGATTGGGAACAGATTCAAGAAGAAATAAACACATAGGAGATCCATAGTTCTTTGTTTACAGTACTGTGCTGTTGTGCATATATACAATTGAGGCTGAATTTGTAATACTGTTATTTCATTATATAGTAGAATCTATAAGCTTGACAGCACTATAGAGATTAACTACCTCAACAACATTTGCAAGTTAAAAGAGATGTAACATTGAATTCCTTTTACCAGTAATCTTAAGTTAATAACCAATGCAACGAAATATTTTGCAGCCCTGTATGTGTAACAGTTCTCTCTCAATTTTATCCATGCTTTGTGCATATTTAAAAAAAAGAAGAAAAAATATGTGAGATTTTTAAACTAAAAATGCAGAAGTATAGAAAAAGTTCCAAGACTTTACAGCACAGTTTAATACGGCAATTCAAATATGTGGCTAGTAATAATAATGAGCTTGAGAGGAAATAATTAACGAATGAATGAATGAATGAATGTGTTGAAACAGATATAAGCTAGGATTTGAGAATGAAAATATAAAAGCCGATACAAGAAACACTTAAGCACATACACAACTTTAGATAAAATAATCTCAATGATCAGTGGTCCATCCATCATATTTTGAAAAGGGAGAAATGTAATCACGTCTAAATAACTCAATATAATTGATTAGCTAGGAGAACATTTCCAATTCACTGAGAGATTAGAATTTGAAGCTCTTAAAACAAAAAATTAGAAGGCTTAAAGTCCTAGGGACCACTTGTGCATATATCAAGGTGACGTACACAATTGACTTACCACAATTGATTCATCTACTCCTACAGCAGTGCTTCGTACTATCTTGGTAATGGCATGAGATCGTGAAGGTGTATTATGACGACTGCACTTTAAAGGAAGTGCAGCTAACGTTGCCAAATTCAAATATAGAGAACATGTGTCAGTAGGAGAAGGGTGGAGACTGGCTAAAGCAGTACTGTAAATCTAGAATGCAATGAAAGGCATTAAGACATTTCTATTTATTAATACACATCCACACACACATAACATAACCAATTCAAAATGTCTATCATTTATTCAAATACCTCTTCAGACACATGAGGTGCAAGTTTCACACTCAAATCTGAAAATTTTGCTTTTGCCAAATTTTTAAGTTGGCCAATGATGACTACCGGCTTCTTTTGAGGGTCCGATGGGGTTAAGGAACCCGAGAACTCCAACTTAACAGTTGACATAACTGCACAGCACTACTACACCTCCCACTGTCTGCCTCAGCAGACTGGTTGCTTATCATACAATTCACCTGATCTGAAAGGCAGTCGCTTTCCGCTGAAATCAAGGAAATCGTATTAAATTAGATAAATCTCTGTTCATTCAATTTTATTACACGAGAATACGTTTAAAAAAATACTAAGCTTCAATCAGGTACGGCAAAATCAATTTATTCAGTGACGGTACATATACCCGCCCCTTTATTTCAGACACTTTATTACGGGAGAGCCACATTTCAAACTTCCACTATAACAATTCTCTTCTCTACCTTCCACTTACCACAATTACGCTTATAGCTAATCGCTACTGTCTGCCAAGGACCGCTACCGCCTCCTATCGTGCTCCAACACCACCCTGTCTCACCGCCCTCACCACGCAAAGCACGTCACTGCTGCCAGCCCAAACATAAAATCTCCGAACACGAGACTACAGCAATGCTAAAGCAATGCTCAGCGATTCTAATTTTATTTCGTAAAATACTGTAAGGTAGGATAAAATCGCTACTATCGTTTATTATTCAAGTAGATGAGCAGGTTAGACGACCGTCATCAGCATGTTTTCATCTATTCACATGGCAACGTGGCAAGTGTCAAAGAACTACCGCGTCATCGCCTATACTTCAGCCGGCACCGAATTGAATGGCACAGTACACATTTTTTAAATGTATTAATTTATGTATTTATTGAAGTGAATTGACAGGATCATTACATGTTTTCAGGAACATAATTATATTATTATAAAATTTAATTTGTTTCAGTTATAGAAATAAGTTACAATAATTTCCTTTTATTTCGAATATCTTGCAGTCTGAGACAATTTCTAATATTAAAAAAAATGTTTACAAAAGGTCTAGTGCAAATAATCGGTGCCGGCACTTTTCAACTGTTCTCAATTATTGTTTCGAGAGATGACGGGGGTATTAGTTCGCGTGGAATACGCAAGAGTGTACGCCGATTAAAACAAAGAGAGTTGGCAGCGATCAGTTGGGACGCGGTCCAAATATGTTAAATCCAATCGGGAGTTTCAATATCAAAAATTAAGTCATAACGAAACTCTCGATTGTATTTAACAAATTGGATCCAAAGTCAACTATTTTCTCAATTTTTTTCGGAAAATAGTGCTGCACCCTCTGGGTGATATCGACAATAATAAAGCGCGAAGCTCAAACTTTCACGCAGCTTCCAGATCAGACGAGGCTCTCCGTCCGCCGCTCATGGCACGGCGCCGCGCTCGTTTGCTCTTCAAATAGCCAAAAAGCTTTTCGCACAGAGTGTTCCTCAACCAGGCACCTCTCAGCAGCGGGACACCGCTCCAGCAGGGGCAAGCTTCCCGACCGGTCTGTGCAGAGCATGTAAGTGTAAAGATACGTAAGTAATGGATGATGATAGGACATGGTTTATTTATATATTTCATTAATTTCAAGCAGAAATTTCGCGAATACTACTAATTTCTTTTTTCAAACAAAGGTACACGGCCGTTTTTAGTAAACTGATTTTTTTTAGAACAGATTTTGTTGAAGACAAAAATATCTATCTTCCGTTTTGTAGATGTAGGAAGAGGCGGAAAAAATCCAAACGTCTGAAATTTTCCGAAATTTAGAGTAAACCGTTTTTTAACTTCCTATGCCATCTTTACAAGTGCATTTTGCTCCGTTTTTACAAGAAATTTAAAGAAAAAATTTGGAACTATTTGAGAAAATTTTGAAAATGTCCGGGGGTTTCATGTAAAGTACCCCCAAATTTTAAAGAATATTTTTCAAAATTTCAAAGCTTTGACTCCAGCCCGATGGACAGGGTTTTCTTCAATTTGAAGAAAGCATTATTTGTCTCTGGAAGATGTTGAGAAATACTCTAAATTTTTTAGGCAAAAATCTACAATAATATTAAACGTAGAAAGATTTTCTTTGTTTTCCAAACGTTTGAAAAATTGTAGTAGGTGAGTTTCAGCAATAAACGATTCAATTGATGTTGACAAATAAATACCTATAAGGGGTAGCTTGGCCATCAGTCTTGAATTTGCGCAAAAAATTAAACATTAGCGTGAGCATGGTGTCTTTAAAAAAATAATTGGTAATGTTTCTGAAAGGGGTGGGATTAGGAAAGCAAATTATATAGTGGTGTGTCAGAATGGCACAGACTTTCCCGTATTGTTTTTTTTATTTCCTTTGGTCTCGGCTAGCTCCTCGGACTTGCCACATCCTCTTGCCGGTCCGATCTATCGCCGCCCAAAGTACATATTTTTTTGAACACATCTTAATTTTTTGGCTTCCTAATATTAAATTGGAAAAATTATTTTAAAAATATTAAAGAACAGTAAAACCTCGATCTAAATGGCAATTTTCTTTGAAAAATTTTGAGGCATTTTTAAGAATATAGCATTTAAGCGCTACTGTAAATTCGAAATTTGAACCTTTCATTACATTGAATTTTCAAAAAACGCCATTTCAAGCACCTCCAGTCACAAATGCAATAGTGTTTAAAATTTCTGGAAATGTGCGTAACAAAGGCGTGAAAGATCTTCCAAAAAAATTACATTTGTGTAATATTTGAAAAAAAATGAATACAACAAAATTAATCCTGTCATCATAAACTGCGCAATTAGCACTATATATTTCAAAAGTTTGCAGAAAAATGTTGGAGTCGTTTTTGAGAAAATGGCATTTTAGTATTTTTGAAAATGCGGAATTTTGAGCTTATTTTCACGGAAAACTGGTCAGTTTTGGGGAAACATTATCTGATATTATTTAAAGCACATGTACTCATCAATTCACTAATGTAAAGAAATTGCCGCTAATGTGAATATTAACGACGTGAGAGACGAGTCAAAATAATTACATTTTTCTAATTTTTGGAAAACAAAAGAACAGAGCAGTGTGACATATATGTCATTTTATAGAGTGAATTTAGTACTATCCCTACCAAAAGTTTAAAGAAAAAATTTTGAGACATTTTTGAGAAGAGCTTGTTTTATAATTTTTTAAATAGCAAATATTGCGCAAATTAGTCGCGCAATTAGTCGAAAACAACTAATTTTCTTAAAAAATGCACACGAACTTGTTTTAAGAACTATTTATGGACAACAAATTTCATTTGAAGGAAAAATATATATCTTTAATTTTGTACTTGTAGGAAGACACCGTCAAATTCACACTTTTTAAATTTTCGAAAACTCGGAGTTAACGGTGAAAATTGGAATGTTACTCCACTCTTACAAGAAATTTAAAGAAAAAAAATCGAGGTTGCTTTTTTTTTTTTTTTAAGAAATGGAAAATGTCCAGAGAGCTTCTTGTAAAGTGCTCCCAAATTTTAAAGATTTTTTTAAATCTCAAAGTTTCGATTCGATCCAGATGGACAGAGTTTCTCCATTTTTTTGGAAAAAATCCTACGAACGGTTTAGACGCTAGTAGTGTTCACAGATATCGGACGGACGGTCAGACGGAGGTTTACAAACACACTTTCTCGGTATCAGGGAATCCCAAAACGTGTATTTCTGTTGAAATCTCGATATCGATTTTCACAGCATTACATAATTTACCCTATACTACGTATTACTAACCCTTATATACGTACTATACGGGAAAGTACAAAATACGTGTCACCTCTTTTTATTTCTAGACCTCATAAAAAAAGTATGAAATCGTTGAAATAGTTATGTTTTGTGAGTGTGTTACATGGCGTAGAATGACTCATATTTGTTACAAAGTCTTATAATTTCTGTTGCATATTTACACTATGTGATCAAAAGTATCCGGATACGTGGCTAAAATGACTTACCAGTTCGTTGCACCCTCATCGGTAATGCTGAAATGCAATAGGTGTTGGCCCACCCCTTAGCCTTTGATGACAAGCTTCCACTCTCGCAGTATACTTTCAATCCGGTGCTGGAAGGTTCTTGGGGAATGGCGCCCATTCTTCACGAGTGGCAGTACTGAGGAGAGATATCGCATGAAGGTCGGTGAGGCACAGAGTCGGTTTTCCAAAATATCCCCAAGGTGTTCGGTAGGATTCAAGTCAGGCCTCTATGCAGGCTGGTCCAGGGATGTTATTATCGTGTACTCGTAACCACTCCGCCACAGACCGTGCAGTATGAACAGGTGCTCGATCGTGTTGAAAGATGCAATCGAACCATCCCCGAATTGCTCTTCAACAGTGGGAAGCAAGAAGGTGTTTAAAATTTCAACGTATTCCTGTACTGTCATAGTGCCACACAAATATGGGATGCAAGCCCCCTCCATAAAAAACACATCCACACTATAACACCATTTTGGACGTGTCCGGATACTTTTGATCATATAGTGCACATGCATATTTGTCAGTTTCATACTACATGTTTTTCAGGCTTATCTTATCTCCATTGAAAGTCGCAGAGCAAGGAGCAGCCGGATTAGTCAGCGTGACTGGCGCCGGGCCTTCGATTCAATGAGCTAATTCTGGCAAATCCTTTTCATCCTTCTCGTTTCATGGTTATTTTTCAGCTGCTTTTCACAATTACCGCTTAAATATCTGTATATTTTACTCATAATCAATTCTTTTCTAAAATATTAACTAGTGATGCTACAGAATAGCACAGATGTTAGTTTTCTAATTTATTTTCGTCTGGGCTAGTTCTTCTGTCTAGCCCCATCCTCTTGCCAACGGCCGTACAAAATATATTTTTTTCCATTTTCTCAGTTTTTCTGTTTGCTACCAGTATATTTGAAATATTACATTTAAACTATTATAGAAAAGTAAAACCTCGTTATGTATGGACATTTTCGTTGAAAAATTTGGAGTCGGTTTTAAGAAAAAAATCGTTTAAGCTTTAGTGTAATTGCAAAATTAAAAGCTCTTTTTCACAGGAATCTTTTGTATTTTGGAAAAACTATTTCAAGTAATTTGAAGAACTTTAACTCCCAAATCCAATAATAAATACAAATCGCTAGAAATGTTCATATTAACGGCATGATGCATATTTCAAAAAAGGAAATACATTTCGTAACTTTTGAAAAAACAAAAAAAATAGCAAAATTAATTTTATGTCATCTCAAACAGTTCAATTATCACTATCCTTATGAAAAGTTTGAGTGTTTTTGAAACTTTCGAACTTGTTTTCACAGAAAAGTTTTGAATTTAAGCGAAAATTTTAAAATACATCAATTAAAGCATATGTACTCATAAATAAAATAATGTGAACAAATCGCTGCTAATGTAAATGGCGTTTATATCTTCCTATAGACTAATTTAGCACCATAGCTAAATTTCACATATTGCGCGAAAACTACTAAAATTTTCAAAACATGTGCATCACTTCATTGAAAGAATAAAATATGAAGAATAAAGATTTACTCGAAGGAAAAATCTCTATAATTAATTTTGTTTTGAAATTTTCGAAAATTCAGAGTTAATGGAGAAAATGGACTAGAACCACCTATAAAGTGTACTTTACTCTATTCTACCAATATTTTTTTTAAAAATTGGAGTCGTTTTTGAGAAATTTTTGAAAATGTTCCAGAGTCTTCATGTAAAGTACCCCCATATTTTAAAGAACGTTTTTGAAATTCGCAATTCGCAATTTGGGTCGAGGTAGTTCAAAGGAGGAATTCTCATTTTGGAAAAAATCATAGTTGTTACTAAAAGTTTAGTTGCTAGTTCACAGACGGACGAACGGACATACAACCGGACGGGCCTCCGAACGAACAGACAGCCGGACGTACGTTTCGAAAAAAAAATAACACTTGTTCGATATCAGGGGACCCCAAAACGTGTTTCCGTTGAAATCTCGAAATCAATATTCCGTAGCATTACATATTTTTCTCTACACAAAGTATATTACTCCGTATACAGTATACTTCGTTTATTACTCTATGCTAAATGTTCGAAATTTTGTTTGGTCATTGCCACCTCTATCGATGAACGGTCCTACGTGGCCATAGTGCACAGCGCGACGTGGAAGGCTCACGGGAGCCGGCGCGGCGGCGACCGCCGTCGTCGAAGCGCCGTCCCTTCGCCAACTATGGGCGCATTCATGAATGAATGA